TCATGTTAGAAACAGAAATACTTATGCGCTCCTTTGGATTTGGGCAAAATAACTTTAAGACAGATTATGGCCATTGTGAATATGTTTTGACTAAATATCCAGTATGATAGTAAATGATTTCACTGGGATCAGATTTACAGTTTTGTGCTATTCTAGCTAGCTTTGCAGAAGATGAAAACAACAGTGTTTTATCAACTTGTTTTGGATATTATACAAAATAGAAAATATAATGGACACACTAATAAAGATAAAAAATTGCTTGAGTTTTCATTGAAAGATTCAGACCCTCCAAATTATATATATAAGAAAGACAGTCAAAGGTAGGACAAGACTATAAGCAATTAGCAATATTGAGGGAACTCTCAGTTTAAAAAATTATGTTTACTGGTTAATTAAAATAATTGCTAATAAAATTAATATTATAGCAATAGATGTGTTGTTATAGAAACAGCTTATTTGTAATACTATCATTTGGAATTCAGTGTTCCAAATTCTCAAGTACTTGAATTGCCCACTTGTGACCTATTATTGCCAGATTACATTAAAATCATGTCCCCATTGCCCTAGATGCAATGATTTAATATAATTTAATGTATTCAGTTTAAACACCATCCATACTGATTCTAGATGGTGTACAATAAATCCAAACAGTATACCAAGTGCAATGGATAAAATATAATAACAAAAGGAAAAATAAGAAAAAAGAGAACTGATGGTAAGTCCAAAAACAACAAAAAGCATTCACATCCTGAAATATCCAACAGGTCCCAACCATCCCACCCCAAAGTCCAGGAAAGCATCCCACTCTTCAGTGTTTTCCAGAAAGCTATTAGGGTGAGAACTACATGGATAAAAATGGTATCTGATCCTGTGACAGATTAAGAAGACCAATTATTGCTTTTTTCTAGAGTTTAAGCCATTTTCTGTATTGATTATTGATTCCATTTTCTAAGGCTAAGGATTACAAAGTATTTTGATCATTGGTTTAACCAGAGGGGAAAAAAGAGATAATGGGTGGAAGCTTGTCAAGGAGAAGCTAGAAATAAGGAGCCTAGAAATAAGGAGAACTTCTCTGGGAAGAATAGCTTGCCTCTCACAGTTCTGGGTGCTCCATCACTGGAAGTTTTCAAAAATAGACTGGACAACCATTTGACTGGGGTGGTATAAGTTTCCTGTCTTGAGCAGAGGGTTGATGTAGAAGATTCAAGAGGTCCCTTCCATCCCTATGATTCTTGTACTATTATCAATAATCTGTTACCTTTTATAAATATAAATTGAGAATTATTATAGAGAGAAATTAAATGGTACAAATGATTGTTTTTGCAATAAATTACTACAATTTAGAACAGAAAACAGAACAGAACAGAACAGAATAGAATATTCTTCCTTGGCCAAGTGTGATTGAACCAGTGGTGGGATTCAAATTATTTTACTACCAGTTCTGTGGGTATGGCTTGGTGTGGCTTGGTGGTCGTAGCTTGGTGGGCATGGCAGGGGAAGGATACCGCAAAATCTCTATTCCCTCCTCACCCCACTAACTTGTTTTTCAGTTCCATTCTCCTTTGCAGGGAACAAAAGAAGACCCAGCCAATCAGCTGGGACTTGGGAGGCAGATAATAAATGGGGGCGGGCCAGTCAGAGGTGCTATTTGCCAGTTCTCTGAACTACTCAAATTTTCACTACCAGTTCTCTAGAACTGATCAGAACCTGCCGAATACCACCTCTGGATTGGACACACAAGGAATTTGTCTCTGGTACATACTTAGTGTATATACATACAACGAAATAAGATAAGGTAAGATACCAATAATAGAAGATAATAGGAAAGATGAGAAGAATAATACTAATACAACCCTACTACATGGGCAAATATCTTTAGACATAAGTCAGTACTATAAGAATTAGATGTTGATTAATGGCATGAGGAAAAAAAACTTTCTCTGTGTCTAGTTGTTTTGGCATGCAATGCTCTTTGACATGTGTTCTAAGGGGAAGAGTTGAAACAGTTTATGCCCAGGATGTGAGGGGTCTGTAGCTATTTTCTCAGCCCTTCTTCTGGCTTGTGCAGTATACAGGTCTCAACCAATGACTGTTGTATTATCTGCAAACTTCAGTTTAACAGAGGGATCCTTCAAGATGCAATCATTGATATACAGAGAAAAGACTAATGGAGAGAGTACACAATTATGGATTTTATGTCTTTTACAGTTTTAAGTGTGCTCTAGATACCACTGGCTGCACCACAGGGCCAATTTTTTAACCTCCTGTCTATATGCAGACTCATAACATCAATGGAACTGCTCACCTCCCAGAATTATAAGTGCTCTATCACTGGAGAAAACATTGGACAACTATTTGTCTGGAGTGATATAAAGTCTTGCCTTGGACAGGAGGTTGGACTAGAAAACCACCAATGTCCCCTCCAGGGCTGTGATTCTACTCTATTCTACTCTAAAAACATAAGGAAAGATAAGATTGGGGGATAATGACTTTGAATAGATTTTTTTAATGTTTGTGAAATAATACAATTTACAGTACAATGATCTCCTCTAACATTGAAACTACTATATGTCCATAATAAGGCACATTACTATATGGCACTTAAATCATTGCAAACATACATTGTTACCTATTAAGTGTCACTTAGCAACAT